ACAGAGCCCAACGCAGGGCTCAAACCCATGAACTGTGAGATCATGAGGACGCTCAACCGACTGAGCCACCCAGGTGCCCCAGCTTCTGGTCCTTCTTACCTTCCTCAGAATTTAGTGAGGAAACGCCCTGGAGGTTTCCTGCAAGAGTTTTCAAAGGGAAGCAGACCTAGGCCGCATCAGCTAAGGTCCGGGCCACTCACCACGACAGGCCCGTCCTCCTGGGCCAGGTAAGTAACGGTTGCCGAGGTGAAGTTGAAGTAGCCGGCCTTGAGAGGACGCAGGACCACCGTGTGGGAGACGTTGCTAGCGCTGGGCGGACAGTTAAGGAAGGAAGAAAATGAGGCTGGTGTCCTAACATCCTTTCCGCCTGCGGACTAAATGCATCCTTCACAAAGGGAGCGGTCAACACATGGCGATTTCCGCCCGCAATACCCCGCGATGATGCTTATGCAGACCTCTTCCTAAGCCCGAAACGTGTGGGGTCATACGGGTCCCTGGCACACTCAACATCCAGCTTCTTCACGAGTACCCAGCACAGAGGTTTCTGAAGGAATATGTACTACGGATGGGACAGCAGCCACTCTCACAGAAACCTCCAGTGACTAACCGAAGGAAGGCTGAAAGCACAGAGTAAGAACAAGAAAACCCCAAGGAGAACACTCACCCTGACCAGAAAATCTAAGTGTCTACGCCTTCCCGTATTGTATATCATAGGGCCTCATAACCCAAACTTTAGGAAGCTCCTTTCTCAAGTCCACACTAACTCACACTCAGTTTCCTCTTGTCCCATCCTATCCAGGGAGGTGATGGACAAATGGCCACACACAGCCAGACAGACCGTTTGAAGGGACCTCATTGCGGCAATGTGTTCGTGTCATCCCCAACACCCGCAGCCCCCACCCCTGCCCCCAGCCTTTGTCACCCGGCGCCAAGAGGATACGGGGCAATCCGGTCCCATTTGACATTGAGCATTCCAGAGACAATGCCAAAGTCCTCTGGAGGGAAAGAGTCGTCGGATAACTCCACATCTAACGCAGCGCTGTAAGTGGAGGAACAAAAGTGGTTAGTATGTAACAGATACAAAGTTAATCAATAATTAGGGTGCTTGGCTGGCTCAGTTGGTAGAGCCTGAGACTCCTGATCTTAGGGTTGTGAGTTTGAACCTCCATGTTGGGTGGAGAGATTACTTAAAAACAAAACCTTAAAGGCAAACCATAAGAGACTCTTAAATACTGAGAATACACTGAGGATTGATGGGGGGGTGGAGGGAGAGGAAAGTGGGTAATGGGCACTGAGGAGGGCACCTGTTGGGATGAGCACCGGGTGTTGTATGGAAACCAATATGACAATAAAT